TCCCAGGTGTGTCCCAGCTGTCCCCAGGTGTCCCCAGGTGTGTCCCCAGGTGTCCCCAGGTGTCCCCAGGTGTGTCCCCAGCTGTCCCCAGGTGTGTCCCCAGGTGTCCCCAGCTGTCCCCAGGTGTCCCCAGGTGTCCCCAGCTGTCCCCAGCTGTCCCCAGGTGTCCCCAGGTGTCCCCAGGTGTCCCAGGTGTCCCCAGGTGTCCCCATGTCCCCTGTCCCCGCTGCAGAGTACGTGCTGCAGCACTGGCAGGAGGACGCGTTTTTCGGGGAGCAGTTCCTGAGCGGGGTGAACCCCGTCCTGCTGCGCCGCTGCCCCCGCCTGCCCCCCAACTTCCCCGTCAGCGCCCCCATGGTGGCCCCCAGCCTGGGCCCCCACACCTGCCTGGAGACAGAGATGGAGGTGAGAGGCACCCAAACACCCCAGACACCCCAGAAACACCCAAAACCACACCAAACACCCCAAAAACACCCAAAAACATCCCAAAATACCCCAAAACACACCAAAAACACCCCAAAAACACCCCAAAACACACCAAAAACACCTCAAAATACCGCAGAAACACCCAAAAACACCTCAAAAACACACCAAAACACCCCAAAAACACCCAAAAACACCCCAGAAACACACCAAAATACCCCAAAAACACCCCAGAAACACACCAAAATACCCCAAAAACACCCCAAAACACCCCAAAACACCCCAAAAACACCCAAAAACACCCCAAAACACCCCAAAAACACCCAAAAACACACCAAAACACCCCAAAAACACCCCAAAACACCTCAAAAACTCCCGAAGCCTCCCCAAACCCGTTTTGGGGGCTCCCAATTCGGGGTGGTTCCCAATTTTGGGGTTCCAAATTTGGGGTTCCCGTTTTTGGGGCTGTTCCCAATTTTGGGGTTCCCGTTTTTGGGGTTCCCGTTTTTGGGGCTGTTCCCAATTTGGGGTTCCCGTTTTTGGGGTTCCCGTTTTTGGGGCTGTTCCCAATTCGGGGTTCCCAATTCGGGGTTCCCGTTTTTGGGGTTCCCAATTCGGGGTTCCCGTTTTTGGGGCTGTTCCCAATTTCGGGTTCCTATTTTTGGGGTTCCCAATTTTGGGGTTCCCAATTTGGGGTTCCCAATTCGGGGTTCCCGTTTTTGGGGTTCCCGTTTTTGGGGTTCCCGTTTTTGGGGTTCCCAATTTGGGGCTGTTCCCAATTTGGGGTTCCCGTTTTCGGGGTTCCCGTTTTTGGGGCTGTTCCCAATTTGGGGTTCCCGTTTTTGGGGTTCCCATTTTTGGGGTTCCCAATTCGGGGTTCCCGTTTTTGGGGTTCCCAATTCGGGGTTCCCAATTTGGGATTCCCATTTTTGGGGTTCCCGTTTTTGGGGTTCCCGTTTTTGGGGTTCCCGTTTTTGGGGCTGTTCCCATTTTCGGGGTTCCCGTTTTTGGGGTTCCCAATTTGGGGTTCCCAATTTGGGGTTCCCGTTTTTGGGGTTCCCATTTCTGGGGCTGTTCCAAATTTGGGGTTCCCAATTTCGGGTTCCCGTTTTTGGGGCTGTTCCCATTTTCGGGGTTCCCGTTTTTGGGGTCCCCAGGCCGGCCGGCTGTTCCTGGTGGATTTCGCGCTGCTCGAGGGGCTCCCCACGGGGACCATCGGGGGACACCCCCAGTTCCTGGCCGCCCCCCTCTGCCTGCTCTGGCTCAACCCCCAGGGGCGGCTCCTGCCCGTGGCCATCCAGGTACGGCCCCAGGTGTGCCCAGGTGTCCCCAAAGTGTCCCCAGGTGTCCCCAGGTGTCCCCAAAGTGTCCCCAAAGTGTCCCCAAAGTGTCCCCAAAGTGTCCCCAGGTGTGTCCCCAGCTGTCCCCAGGTGTCCCCAGGTGTGCCCAGGTGTGCCCAGGTGTCCCCAAAGTGTCCCCAAAGTGTGCCCAGGTGTGTCCC